GAGATTTGGGAGAGAGATAGATACAATGGGAGAGATTGAGAGAGAGTTTGTCGGGAGCCTTTATTAATGTTTTTCTTCGTAGTTCAAAGACTGCATACATAGTTAAATCCCATTTTGAGTGTTATACACCCCCGAAGGGCACGTGAAAGTGTTTTATAAAGTTGTTACTTCCCTCATTCTGATTAGGGTTTAGAATTTTGAACATTTGAAACTTTCAAGTGTTACTTTGCATTTAAGATTTAGAGTCATACATTAGTAACCATAAAGAAATCCCTAATCATATTAGCACTAGTTGAGTTGACCAGATTGACTTGTTGACTTTCTTTGACTTTGACTTGACCATAAAGTGAAGGTTGTCATAGGAATCCTACGAGTGTTCATCCAAATCCATCAAACTAGGGCTCTGATACCAACTTCTAACATCCCAAATTCCAGAATAAATTTTTCATTTTTAAAAATAGAATAAACAACCTTTTTTATAAAGTTACATTCAAGTCAAATCAATTATTTTTAAACCATAATTCAAAATCAGATTTATAAGGAAGACAGTACGGAATCCTAAATCATAAAACTGTTGATGTGTATGTACAGTCCCCCCTTCGCAATCCGATAAGTACCTGAAAAATATTTTAATCCACAACTGTAAGCACAAAGCTTAGTGAGTTCCTCAAAATATCACATACAACACAGCATAATAATTAACTATAGGTTATCATCATCTCTGGGACTATCACCAATCATGAGGACTATCAACAGTCTTAAAAATTACATATAACACAACAATATAAACAACTATGGTTTATCAGCAACCCTAGGACTATCAACAGTCCTATGGGTTCACAGCATTCCTATGGGTTATTAGCAACCATTTGGGTTATCAGCACCCCAGCGGACTATCACCAGTCCTGGAGTAATCAGCAACTCAAATACATATATACAGCAATCAACCAATAAAACGACTCCCCTATGATATTGGTAATACAATGAGAAGACTCACCTAAACGAAGAGCTAAAATCCACTATTCAAAGTCCCACGGAATCAACTACACGAACCTCCTAAACCAATCACAAGTTAAAACCTCAAAATGTGGCATATCACCTCTCAAGGTTTGACCAAAAGTCAATATGGTCAAAAAGTCAACATCAAAGTCAACCCCAGTTGACACCCACATCGTGGCCACCCATTGGTCAAGTCGTGGTAAATTCACGACAAAATAGTCGCAGTGACACCAGTCGCCACGTCGTGGCAAGCAAACTGTCACGCCATGGCAAGCAGACTATCACGCCGTGGAAACTAGATCTTTACAGCCTAATGGATTAAGCTCTTATTCCATTAAGCCACCCATTCATACACTACATAAAACTTCCTAATGCCTAATTCAACATAAAGATCGATGTTTTCAGTCATGCATGTCCAATGCAAGTCTAGCACTCAAACTATGTAAAAATGGAGAAATAAAACCAAGATCTCATGCATGGAGCTCAATACACCAACAAACTTTAGATCTGCAACATATGTCAACTGAAGGACCTCAATGATTCATAAAGTTGCTAACTTTATGTAATACATGCACTCAACTCAACCCAAACATGGATAAAATTAGGTAGAAACCTAGATCTAACATGATATAATAAGAAAGGTAAGATCTTGAGGACTTACAAAAGTCCATAAATGGCACAAGATGGTGATGAAGAGGTTTGTTGGTTGAAATAATGCACCAAGAACACCTTCTTCTTCTTCTTCTTCTTCTTCTTCAAGGGGATAAAATCACCATAAAGAGCTCACAAGGTTAAAATGAAGGCTAGGGTTTCTTGGAGGGTGAAAGGTAGGTGATGGAGGCTGAGGGTGTGCAAACCCTAGCCCTCACTTCCCTTAAATAGGGGCACAAACCTCGCAACTAGGGTTAAGCACTTAAGCATCCGCCATATCGTGACCTTAAGCTTGTCATGCCGTGGCGCTCAAGATTGATGTGCACTTTATATAACTATGGCCACATCGTGGCAACCCATGTCCCACATCCTGCAACAGGGTTTTCTCTAAAAAACCCATCTTTTATCCCATTAAGTTTTTAACTAATCCATTCCGGGAAACGGGTGTTACAATTACGGTATGTTATCCCGAATTGATAAACATCCCAAAACTTGATGTTACAATTAATAACAAAAAATCAGGCAAAGCAAAAAAGACAGGCTCTAGTCCAACATCGTAGAGGCCATTTAAGATGTTTGTTTAGGAGGATGTGTTTTATAGGAATTTCAAACGAGGATGGTGCTTCTGACTTAAATTAACATCAGACCCCAACATGACAGGAACCATCCTCAGACACACAATGGTTTTAGGATGTGTTCTAGTGTATTTTCAAGATGTTGGGAGCATGATAAAATGTAAGAGTCGTGTTAAGGGTTGTTCTAGGATGTCCTTTATGCTTGCAGAAGTTTTAACTCTATATTAGTTTTCAAGTTTCCATATAAATAGGGATGACCCCCTATTCGATTCCACATACTTCCTAGGCGATTTTCTTCCACTTTTCCAGCATCAAATTACTTTTAAACATTCCAAATTAAATCTTTTTTATCTATTATACTTCTAAAATTAAAGCCTTAATTCATAGAATTCCATGTCTTCCGGTTAAGATCATCCCAAGCATGCTTCAAGAACTTCATCAACCATTCATCACCTGTTATTACTTCATTTTAACATCCGCATCCATAAATTCAAGTATAAAGATGCTTATTCTTGAAGAGATGGAAGATTGGTTCATTGGAGATTGCTTTTGGTAACATTATCATGATATTAGGTAGAATTCCTTATTATTAATTAGATTCTTGACAAAAAAATTATTTATTATTATGAATTCAAAATTGTAAATCATGTGGGTAATAGTAAATTTATTTGTGTCTGTTTAAAAGTATGTTGCTTTAATCGTTAGACATTGTATTGCTAAATCATTACTTGTGGATTTTACTCGACTTTCTTTATCTATGTAGGGGGTCGTTTGATTTGCTTCTGACTGGGTCCGGTCAGACATTTTGGCTGACTCGGTCCGGGTCAGTGTGTTTGATTTGCATGGAGTCAGAGGCTCTAGCTGACTTGGTCAACAATTTTCCTCCGACTCGGTCCATCCAAAAAATGAAGTTGACTGGAAACCATACGCTTTTATTCCCTTTTCTAACCTTGACTATAATCACCTCCAACATTCGCTTGAAACTTCCATCAGTTGGATCAAGCGAGACCACCATCTCCATTTATCAGCCACATCGTCTTCCTCCAACCTCTTCCTCTCCGGCGTCTTCCTCCGTCCCTCCTCCACGAACGCCGACCTGCAACTCTAACGGTAAGCATCTTTCCTCTGTTTTTTATTCATGAAATTAGATGCAAATATGTATGTATTTTATGAAATTAGATGTTATTTGTGTATTTATTATCTGAAATTAGATGTTTTTTATGTATGTATTTGCAGAAAATTGATGCTATTTGTGTATGACGTAACTACATCTTTTCGTTTTGACCTGATCGACATATTTGGAGTTGTCTAATACAGAAGTTGGAAGCAATGGTTATTTTCTATTTTTGTTCTTAAATCTTTATATCTCCATCATTCTGATAACTACTTAATTTAGGTAATTGCATGTGGTTCTGTTGGAGATCAAACCAGAAATAAACAACAATTTGAATAGTTATAGGAAATATATGAAGAAGAAGAAGGAGGTTATAGATCGAACAAGAAGAAAGACATGTTTTTATGTGCAATAAATGGTCTTTATTAAATCACTTATCATGGCTACTAGTTGTAGATTAGAATAAATTCAAGGTTTAAGATGGGTATTACAGCAGATTTGAGGCTTTGCATACATTAATGGAAGGTTTTTTAGAGTGAGAAGGAAATAAATTGAAGTTGATCTGTTGGAGCTGAGTGAACCAAATGAATTGATTGAATTTTGCTTTATTTCTTTGTTTTTGTAATTGCAGGTGAGTAGGAAGATAGACTAGTTGTATGGTGGTGGAAGTGTTGCTCTAAAATTGTTCGGTTGCTTTGTTAGATTATGGTTTATGGACAGAAATTTGGAGAATACCTTCCAACTCAAAGACCCAGGTCATGTGAATACTTTTGCTTTGTCTTTGTTGGTCTTTTATTGTGTATATATTATAAATGGTTGTAGTTGTATAATATTTTGTATATTTTATTATTTTGTATACTCTTCATCAATTCTATTCATATAATTTATCAATTATAAACATATACCTTTTATTTAGCACAAAACAAAAAATACGGGTATATTGGTCATTTTTAGCAGTCAGAACAACCAGTCAGATGCGTAATCAAACAATATGGTTTCAGTCAGAACCAGGTGCAGTCAGAGCTTTAGACCCTGTCAGGCCCCGACTCAGTCAAAACTGACTTGGTCAGCAACTATCAAACGACCCCTAGGTTAGTTGGCTTATATTTTACCAAGAGGACTACCTTGATCAGATGCTAGCCCAATGCTACATGGGTGTCACCTAGGATAGAAACTAAATGGAGCTGGAATGGTTTGTTTTACTGGCCAAAGAGATACAATTGATTTTTTTTGGGCATCTAATTTGTTCATTTTGAACTTTGAAGACTAAATGGTTACTTGTCAAAAACTTTAACGACCAATTCTATCATTACTGCGGTAAACATGATATATTAGCTTGATATGAAGATATGCATGACCCATAAATATGTCAATCCTTCATATGAAATTTATCATATGGCAACTAGAAAGTTCAAAACAACATTTAGATAGTGCATAAATAACATGCAAGATAAAGCGGAAAACAAGCATTACGATAGGTAGATCCAGATTTTTCTTCAAAGTATGATTGCGGTTATAACATAATGCTAACACTATTATATGCTACATACAAAACATATGATGAAGATATGGTTAACGGCAAAATAAAAAGCAAAGGTGAAGATGGGTAGATTTGTGGACATCGGGTATTTGTAAATATGGCATTCACACATGTTTTCTTTCTATGTAGCATACAATAGTGTTAGCATGTATTCATCCATCGATGAAACAGAGCCAAGTTGACGGTAATTTTCTTCACTCCAAAAAGTGGGTTCTTTAGGTGGAGGCAATACACAATCACTAGTTAGCATCAAAACCACTGACAACATAGTTGGTCTATCTTCTGCATGATGTTGCACGCATAATAATGCAACATGTATTGACCGTAGTACTTCAGAGACGACACATGATTTGCATATAGATGCATTCACGAGTTCAATAGACTTGTCCTCTATATAGAGTCTCCATGCCTAAATGAAACAGACTTCATATAAGTATGCTAGGGGAGATGTTAATGAAAACACTAGTTTCCCGTTCAGATAGTGGGAGTTAGTTTAACTGATTAACTTACATGTCCAAGAAGATTGTCACTTTGACCTTCATGAGAGAACCCTCTGTTTTTCTTTCCACTCACAATCTCCAACACTAGAACTCCAAAGCTAAATACATCTGACTTTGTAGAGAATCTCCCATGGACTGCATACTCGGGAGAAATGTAACCACTAGCGCCAAATTCAGATAATTAATTAGTAGCAGGGTTTCGTGTTTCTTTGTATTTTTCCCATCTTTCTATAGGAAGACACATTAAAAGTAATATAGGGGCGATGTTTTATAGATTCTTACTATGTTCCGACCACCTTCATTGTCTTAGCCATGGTATCTTGTCCAACAACCTTTCAAGCAAGCCCAAAATCAGATATTTTTGGATTCATTTCACCGTCTAACAAGACATTGCCTGCCTTGATATCTCTATGGATGATTTGAAGGCAAGAATCCTGATGTAGATAAAGAATACCTCGAGCAATACCATGGATAATGCCAAAGCGCTGACGCCAGTCAAGCATTGAACTTCTGGTTTCATCTGTCCGATAAATATATATGAACTAATTAATTAGTCGATGCAAGTTGGTGATCAATTCGAAATAGTTGTTACAAAAAGTATGAAAATAAGGCACTAGAGAGAATTAAACCAGATAAGTAGGAGTCCAAGCTTTTATTATCCATATATTCATAAATCAAAATCTTTTCATTTCCATGAATGCAATATCCAAGGAGCTTCACAAGATTCCGATGTTGTAGTTTGGCAATACAAATGACTTCGTTCCTGAACTCGTCAAGCCCTTGTTCGGATGTTTCTGATAGCCGCTTTACAGCTATTACTTGTCCGTCTTCCAACACACCCTAAAAGATAAATTTTGGAGCTTATGATCATAACATTCCAATACTGTTTATATTTCTTCATAATGCATTTTATACCAAAACATCCATAAGTTACCTTGTAAACTGGACCAAAGCCACCTTCTCCAATCTTATAATCACTGCTGAAGTTATTGGTAGCCTTTGCTATTTTATGCTGGCTAAAAAATGGTAGCTCGTCAAGGTTTTCCATCTGAAAACCGGTATCATCCTCATAATTAAGGGTATGTGCGTTTTCTACAAAAAGCTCATTTCAATTGCCCTTGATTAAATGAATCTACCAAAAAAATCATACTCAAAATTAACTTGTAAATGGTAATCATGCTTGTTTTTTTACCTCGCCCGTTGCTTGTGAGGCATTTTCTTTTTCTTTCTGTAGACATATACTACTGCACACAATAGGAGTGCAGCTGACGAAACACACAACACAATAGTCAGTACTCCATTCTTCTGGTCGAAGCTGGATTGACCTTTTGTTTATGAATACAATAATTTCGAAGGTTACAATTCAAAGATAACTGTTAAAGCATACGAAATCAAATACATTTAAACCTGCTCAATATGGACACAATTTTTTTCTCTGAGATTCCTATAAAATAAATATGACTATAGAATAATTTATAAAAGGCTCAATATCGTATTTCGGGTCAATAAGGTTTGTTGTGTATATATGGATCAAAATATGTGTACCTGGTAACTTAGAGGTTGCCAATCGTATGTAAAGTTCTTGAGGATCATCGTGCTCTCCCATGTCCATTAACTCATCAAACCATAGCAAACATCCACTTCCCCCGTTTCTGATATCTAAATTTGCATAAGCTGTACAAGAGTAATTACTTCTGCATGCCATCTCACATTCTCCAAGGGACATGCTCACGTTGAACCATGAACGTCTTGTGTTTGGGAACTTCATACCTGAAATTTTCTGGAAGTCATCCCCTGCAGTACTACTCCCACAATCCAATGGCGTTTCACGTTGACACCCACTTGACCAATCTCCGGCATTCCATTCTTCAGGGTCTTTTACTTCAAAACCTTCCATACAACTGCAAGGGGGGTATGTTTTAATGAAGCAGCTCCCATAAGGACCACAACGTCCATACTGACTGCAGCTATCAACAGCTATACTTCCATACACGACCCATTGTTGGGTTCGATTGATCCAACTCATATGCAGTAGGATGCCATCCGACATCACAATTATCCTTTGAAAAACTGAACCTATTAGTTCATATCTATAATATATTTCCTTCCGGTTGACAACAAACTCTACGGAGTAAATTGGATTCGTGTTTTCAACAGGAATGCCCCGAAACCCAACACCATTCCATGGTGCAAGCCTAAAGTTATCAACTTGACCTTCTCCCACAAATACCTGTGGATATCCATTTGCGTCTAACCTGAGTTTATACAGACCTATAGAAGGATCATCAGGGCTCTTCCAGGTGGTTATAGACCACTCTCTTTCTTTTACCAAATCCTTCCCTAGTTTCATTCCTGGTAGCAACGTGTTACCAGGATAGTCAAAGCTTTGCCAGGTGGGGTTTTCTTTAGTGCTACTTTCATCCCACACGACAAGATTTCCACTGTCTAGAAGTTGTGCCACAGGATTAGCATTCCTGACTGTTGGGTTAATCGGTTTGAAAAGCAAATTTTATAGTCAAGGGCAATATAGGAAAATTACTATATTTTGGTTTTGTTTTATCTAGTATGTAGGTATTAGAGTTTGAGTAGGTTTCTAATCCAATTAGTATATATAGATGTAATAGTTTGAACTCTAAATTTAAGTGCTGTGGTTCTCATAAAACGTTGTGTGCAAGTCAATAATTTATTTTTTTGTTTTGTTCTTCGTTTCTCCCCAGCACACAACTAAATTGTTTTAGTTTAGTTTCTTACACTTGGTATCAGAGCGCGGTTTCGTTGAAGGGGGTGTGATTCGAGGTTGATTAGAAACAACCCCGATTTCTTTTAATCGGGCTTGTGAGAGACTAACCGGAGGCGCGGAGTAAACGAACGGGAAGACGTCAAAGCGGGTGGCTTTGATTCGGTTCGTTTTGCGGGTGACGGAAGACGGTAAAGGTGGTCGTGACCTTGTCTTGTTGTCCGGTGGAAGAGTGCTCTCGGAACAAGCTTGATTAAAGAAGTCGGGGTTAAGGAGAAAAGGATGTCGTTGGTTAAAGAAGGAGGTTCATTGACATATCAAGTTCCGGTTTTGACTCCAACGAATTATCCGGTGTGGGCGGTTAAAGTCAAGTCGATTATGGATGCACATGGCATATGGGAGACGGTCGAACCGAAGACGTTAGATAAAGCACCAGATCAAAAGAAGTCAAAACAAGCTCTTGCTTTTTTGTTTCAAGCGATACCCGAAGACATGGTGTTGCAAATTGCGAGTTACACCGACCCAAAGCAAGTGTGGGATGGGCTAAAAACACGGTATTTGGGAGTGGATCGGGTGAGAACAGCTCGACTTGCAACCTTAAAAAGGGAGCTTGAAAGTTTACGCATGAAGGAGGATGAAACGGTTGATGATTTTGTGACAAAATTATCCGGTTTAGCGTCAAAAGCAAGGAGTCTTGGATATGAGCTTGAAGAAGGTGATTTGGTAAAAAGGTTACTAGATTCGATGCCTAAGTCGTTTCTTCAAATCGTGGCTTCAATAGAGCAATGTTTCGAGTTGGATTCAATGTTATTCGATGAAGCAGTTGGTAGATTGAAGACATACGAGGAGCGTATAAGAGGAACCGAGAAAGTGGAGGACACTCAAGGTGGGTTGTTGTTGGCTAGTGACGAAAAGTCACATGTTTGTAAGCATTGTGGCAATGAACGTTCAAATCGGGATGACTTTGGACGTGGCCGGGGAAGAGGTCGGGGGTCCGGGAGAAGTCGAGATGGTAATGAACGTGTCCGGGATAAAAGTCACGTTAGATGTTACAAATGTGGTGAGCTTGGTCACTATAAAAACGAGTGTCCTAAATGGGAAAAGGAAGAAGCGGGTCTAATCGAAGAGGAACCGGCATTGTTTTGAACGAGTGGTATGACCAAACCGATTAAGGGGGTGATTGTTGGGTTAATCGGTTTGAAAAGCAAATTTTATAGTCAAGGGCAATATAGGAAAATTACTATATTTTGGTTTTGTTTTATCTAGTATGTAGGTATTAGAGTTTGAGTAGGTTTCTAATCCAATTAGTATATATAGATGTAATAGTTTGAACTCTAAATTTAAGTGCTGTGGTTCTCATAAAACGTTGTGTGCAAGTAAATAATTTATTTTTCTGTTTTGTTCTTCGTTTCTCCCCAGCACACAACTAAATTGTTTTAGTTTAGTTTCTTACACTGACAGATGCTGTCGTATTGGATGACCAGATCACCGTATTACTTCCACTGAGAATCAGCAGGTTTCCTTGTCTATCAACTTCAAAACCGCCAGATGTATCGCTAATTGGAGTCTCCCTGTTAGCGACCCACACAACTGTACCCGTTGATATCTTTTTGTACCAAATCCCCAGGTATCGATTCGTAGACTTTCCAGGGCTAAAAAACCCCAGTTCATACATCTCGCCATCTGAAACAATAGTCTTGCCATCTTTGATTGGTTGATTTGCAGATATGGTATCTACTGCAGCAGAACTTGACAAGAAAAAGAATATGGTGCTGTAGAATAACAGAAACATGGGATAAACCTCCATTGACGTGTTCTTGAAATGGTGGGAGTAGAACTTAGGTCATGAAGAAGATGGTAATGTATAGTAAAATCCTTGCTGAAGCAATAAATAATTATAATACGATAAGCTTTCTTGGATTGATGTGGTTACTGATATTTGGGTTTGGGTTTGGTAGAACTTGGTTTTCATTCGGGTAATTAATTATGGATATTTGATAATTATTTAATTAAGGAAACTCCTAATTCGATGTTGACGGGAATATAAAGACTTGAACGGGGATGTTTGACTTCCATTTAAAGGACTTTTTGACGCCTCCGCACCACCCACTATACCCACGTTACAAATTTTTTTATTGATTTATTTGTGTTTCATGCCGACTCAAGACTAATTTGATTATGAAAAAAGTTCTTTCGGGTTTGTGCTTTTCGTCCATTTTATTTTATAAACACCAATACATCTATTCTAATAAATCAACATATTTTTATGTAACATTTAATCTTTTATGATTTTGACACTTATTTGAAATAAATAATATTTCAGTTTGTTTGAAATAAATAATATCCAATATCAATTTCTTGTTTTTTTCAATTTTCATAAATTAAAATGCCACATGTAATACTAATATTTATATATATATAATATATTAATTATAATAAATATGACAATAAATGGAGAATCTTTCCAAAAATGTGTTTATTTCTTTCAATTTTAAAACTTCTAAACTATAGTCCAAAATCATTGACTTTCCAAATAATGTCTTTGTAGTACCTAATATCATCCATTGATTTAATTCTTCCATTCCAAATTCACGCCTACCGCTCCATACCACCGCTCATGGGTTTCTTTGTTCCTTGTTCAGTTGATGATTCGTGTAACATTTCATTTTTACTACTTCTGTATATTCATTAAGCTATTATTATGAAATACGAAGTACAAATATATTACTTTGAGCCAAAATAAGCATCGTAAATATATAGAGAACATCAATACGATTTTCGTAGATATATAGAACGCGTAAATTTGACTTCGTATAAAGAAGTTATGTTTCTTCGAAGTTTCACGATTAAACCGACACGGTTCAGCATAATGCAAAAAGTGAATTTTAGATAGGTTACTTATTAGCCTAAGAAATCTAAACAAAAGTCATAGTAGTCCCAAAATTGAGAGCGTGCATATAATGAACGTCTGAATCTGACTTCAATTGAGGAAGTTTTGATTTTTAGCCGTTTCAACGTAACTGTGTGCAACACAGAAACCGAATTTGAGATCGGTTGATTGTTAGAAAAAACAATATAAACAAGAGTTGAAGATCTCGTTAATAGGAGTTCATCGATATAAGGATAGTCGAGAACGGACGTCGGACGAGAGAATTATGAATTTTTAACGGACTTTAACAGTCTAGGCCTGTTAAAAATATAACTTTAAAAATAAAGTCAAAATTAGCCGAAGGAGTCTAAATGAAAGTTGTAGATCTCGTCGATAGCTATGCGTGGATATAAAACCCGTCGAAAATGGAGCTCATGTGTGGCGCGCCTGACACCCCTACCCAAATCGCGCCATGTGTCACCACTAGAAAACGACCACGTCACCCTTTCCGACCAAGGGCGCGGCGGCCACCCCTTCCAGACCTATAAATTACTGCGAATTCCTTTATTTCCCTCACTACTTTTCAATCTTTCTCTCTCAAAAGTTTTCCCTTCTTAAGATCCGACTTTTTTGGGTTCCTGAGTACTTTTAGTAAGACTCTATCATATCTAGGAGTCCGACAAGGAGTATTTGAGTTATAGTTATGTGCGCGTAATTACTCGGTTTTCGCTATAAACTCTGTAAGTTAAGTTACACTTATTTTATTTATGTGTAACTTTTAATTATAGTCATAGTCGTTATTATGGACCAATAATGATTTATTAGTGTTTCGAAGTTAGTATACTAAATGATCTACTTATGGGAGTAATGTCTAGACTGGATTTATTGAGGTGTTTAAAGTGGGATTTCCAAACAGTATACTCTGTATACAAAACCAACCCTACCTCCGATATGATCCTACATGGTTATTCCTTACTAGATAGATCTTGATGTAGACATCGGGATTATTTGTGACATCCCGAAATTTAGGTTAAAGACTGTGAACGGTCAACTTCACAGTAAATCTCTTGGTAATTTGACTCATTGAGTTTTAGTGCATCTTTTGTAAAATAAGTGAATTCATTTCAACTATTATAAGATACCAAATGGTATCTTACTGACAAATACATAATCTAGAAAACAAATCAAATAGCTCAAACTGTAACCCTAAGCATGCGTATGAAAAACTGAAATTTCGTATTAAGCAGTTGTGAGCAAAACAAACATTCTAGTCTCGTAGAACATTTTTCCTTGTTTCCGAAAATATAAAGAATGTCCAAAACGGAGTTCGCATGCAAAAGATACGACCATTTTAAGAATCCAAAACCAGTATAATACTGATTTTCTTAAAACCGCTAAAACTGTTTCTATCCGTTGAGGGATTTCCACACCTGAGATGGGAATTCCGAAAGCATTTTTGGACTCAGGTCATACTCTATTATTTAATTTCATACTTAGAATATTTTAGTAAAAATATTTATAAAAGTCAAAAAATTAGATGTTTTGAAACAGTAAATCGCGAAACCTTAAATTACGATTTCAATTATTGGCAATATATTCTTGAAATAATATATTATTATCCAATCCAGTTATGGTGAATCTTAACGAAGAAATAACCCAAAATTTCTAAAATCATGTACATCTATATATACATATATAGGTGGGGAACGTATTTTTTAAAAATCTATTATGGTTTTGCTATAAG